TCTGCGAGAGCCGTGTTAGAGCTTCCGCTTGAGTCAATTGTGGGGCCAAAGATATATCTTCTGGCAGAGGTGTTTGAGGGAGAGAAGGACCCCCCTTTTTCCGTTTGTTCTGTGGAGGAAGGGGCGCACGAGGGATGTCTTTTGGTGCGAGTGAGCCCTTCGCTCGAAATACGACATCTCGCCAGCGACTCCAATCCTCGTCTTCATCCTATTTTCTATGAGTGCGTCACACACTTGTTCATGCTTTGAATTGCCCACCTTCATATTCCGGAGCCTTGTTATAATCTCCACTGCTTCAGACGACAATGGGACAGGTGATCCCATTCCAATATCGTGTCCAGTTTCGCGGGGAAGTAATTTCCCTCTCGCATCGCTCCCTTCTTCCGAAGTAAGCAATGATGGTGAGTCTGTGTCGTCGGAGGGTTTCAGGTTAAGAGCTTCCGGACTATTGTCACTCAGGAGATGCGCTGGTGGCGCTGGTGCAGCACGGTCCTCGCAAGGAATGACATCAACGCCCCCTTTGCCAAGATTAGTTCCCTACGGAGGGAGTGGATGTTATACAAGGCATTCTTCAGACCAGACGAGGACCCTCACCCATATTCGTTCCTCAGAATAAACAGGGTCATTGGCTATTGGATGACCGAGGTATTGTAGATGACTCGTATCTGATGTGCTGCAACAAATTGGTCAGGAAATCCGGCGTGACATCTGTGTGATCCTTACATCGACCTGTCATGGGACGACCTAGGTAGAAAAAATGGGTGTGTTTATCAAATACAGCATGTAACTGAAAGTCTCACAGTGAAGCACACTCGTGTTGGTCGCGGAATCGTAATGAAGCCGGTTGAAAATCGTCTTCGCTGGCTGCAAACCGTCAAAAACTTCACCGACAGCTAAGCTGCACGTACCTTTCCTTCTGGGTGCACTATATTAAGCCCCATTTGTCGATCTACAGTCAGGAGGGGTTCTTCACAAATAATTTCCTCACTATTTCCTCACTACACCCATATGGGTAGATGTTAAAAATACTCACACAGGGAACTCCCCTTTGCAGCGAGCAATATACTCTTTGCGGATTAGACCATTGACGAATTCGCCTGATAACGAACGTGCCAGATCGGCATTCAATGGTACGATCATCAAACCAGATGTAAGTCTATCCAAGCGGTTGATCGCTATAACCGAATTAGCAAGGTTTATTTTCGAGCAGATGTGGACCCACTATAAATTTTCGGGAAACCAAACTCGTTACGAAGGATCTCTACTAAGCTGTGGCGGTAGTACCGACCAGATGCATGTACTGGCTGTACCATATCTTTAAGTTAGGTGCACTGTGAGCAGAATTACCAAGGACGAACTATGCTACCAGGTTTATCGACAACCAAAAAGTCGCGCTCCTTGTCATGCAATACAATTTTGACGGGTGTAGATGTGACTGGAGGCTCATGTCGGTGCACAACATTCCTACAACAATCAATAAAGGTATGCTTCTAATGCAGAAGATGCGCTCACTCTATACGATCGCCATTCCTCACTACTGTGTCTGGTTTGGCGACCTTGCCATTAATTGTTGTCACTCCGGATTCAAGGGCGTATCGCTGTGCAATGAATAGTGACTTGTAGAGAAGAAATGAACAGTTAACTTGTAAACACATACATAGTACTCCATGGATCGATCCCTGAATTCTGTCGACACGATTTCTAAGATCTCCCGCCCAAGCCAGCGCTCCTTTGCCATAGTCGTATACGGGTACCAATATGGTGTGAGCTTCTTCAACCCTGCATCATTTTGTGACGATGGAGGTGATCGTGGCTCATCAGGTACGGCTCCATCAGACATGGCTGCGGTCAAGAATCTCGCAAGGACGTGACGAAATTGACCGAGCGATGAAAAATTTGTGAGCGGAAGACGCTCACGGGACTCGCGTTTGAATCGGAGGATGTGGGCCACGGCGATGTTGCTCCAGAAGAGCTTAACTGACTTGAGTGAGTTCAATGCGACAGAACGAGACAGTCACGTCAGTTCGACTATATCTGCGAACCTAACTAGTGAGCACTTTCAATTTGCTCACGAAAAAGACACAGGGAAGTTTTGCGAACGTTGAACGGACTTCGTCTTCTGACAGTTGAACGCACAACTTTTCAAAATCGTCAATTTTGGGAGATGAAAGTCCGGCCGGACATTGCGATGATCACGTGCACACGGAGTAGCGTGCTCATTGTTTCCCACGGCTGTTGTGAGCTCAGCACGCTGCACCTGGCAGGAACACCAAGCAAGTAATGTAACTGGAGGCTGTACTTCGGGCCCGCGCCCAACAACATACTCTGGTATCAAGTGCACCACCTTCACCCACTCACCCTCCAACACGCTTCCAGCAACCAACCTCACCCTCTCTTTACCCAACCCCTCGCTGGGCTCCTTCGGACATCCAGTTTCGCCGTCTTCAGAGCATTTCTTCATCTCTGTTGCCACCTTCAAAACCTTTGATTCATTATCCTCAGGGCGCTGCGAGCCTTGTGGGTGGTGTTTATGGTGCACAATAATATGGCTTGAGTGGCTGCATAGAGTAAGATGATTTTTCCTTGGCTCGGCCAAGGGCGCGCGACAGTGCTTTCTTCATCTTGCAGGTGTGTTCTGACACCGGTCTGGTTTGTCGACTCCGCCGTCATTCAGGCCTCCCACACCAGGGAAGGGAAAGAGAAACAAGATTGTTATTGATCGTACTCAGCTTCGTACATACTTTGCTTTATTGCTCAGCACATGTGCATACGAAATAGGCCACTTACCCGTGATGCTCTAACCCGAGTGGGTCTGGGTAACCCTCTAAAAATTCTGGTACCCGTGGGTTGGGTCGGGTATGACCCGGTCGACCCATGCCACACCCTAATGTCATTGATTCCCTTGCTCGTCGCGTGAGGCCGAATAGTCTCCTCGGGGCCGACTCTTATCATTCGATGAAGCGATCTTGGGCTAATGTTGCTGCGAGGCGAATTGAGTCTAACTGAGGTGAAAATTGTGGTAATTTGACACAGTTGGAGAATTGACACTTACGAGTTGTAACGAGTTCGGGATTGATGCGGACCGGTGGTCCAGCCAACAAGTGCTGAGCGGTGAGCGACGAGTGACGAGTTGTAAGTACAAGGCAAAACCTACTAATTGCAATCAATCTTCCTTGCATTCGAATTTCGTGAGCAGATGATCGAGCTCGCGAAGATTCCCAGTAGCACTGATCTCTGGAGCCGCAGGTCTAGATACTGTAAAATTGAGCTCGAGGTATTGTTTGTAAATAAGGTACTGCTTTGAGTGCACCGTAGTCGGAACTACTTAGCTGAGATGCAATTAATGACGGGGCAACATTAAATAATGATGTCATTGTTAATTAGGAACGTTAAGGTACATGTACATAGCCTAGGCACGTAGAGTTTTGCCGGTGATATAAATAACCGCAGAAAGGACCGAACGGTCCTGGTGTGTTTGATCAAGTTTGAACTTGTGGCTGTGCACATTTTCGAGGTCTACTAATCGCAACCAACCAAGTGACCATCTGTAGTTTCGGTGGGTGTCTGACATGGGAAGAGCTAAGTAGGATTTCTATAAATTTCTCACACATATTTTGATTTTACCAGGTTAGGTTTTTGCCGCTCTAGAGGTTGGGAGCATTCTACTACAATCAAAGGTCCTGAACGGTGTCAATCAACTTCCACGCTCCTGACAGGCGTGGTGATAAAGACAACGTCATTATCACATACATACTTGCAAGTACGAGAACTGAGAGAGGCTACAGTCGAACGCGGATTGGTGGTATTTTCAATTATTGCAGGTTCCACACACCACAAATGCTGTCCAAGAAGGTCCCATCACGTACTAGTGGACTATCACCAAATCCTGTCTCAGGGTCACCACGTTTGTCGATCTTGTCAAACGTCCGGGCGTGGATCAGCTGCACCCCAAGGACGGCCCCTCTATAGCACCGCATTTCAAGTGTCTGGATTGGCATCTGCAGACCCCGGGCCTTTGCTGGTGTATACTTGGTGGCATATAGCACGGACACAGCTCACTGCATATTAGTACTACAACAAAAATATAGGGCTTGACTTAGCACCACGCAAACTATCCAAATGGAGAGGAATAGACTGGAGCTTGCGACTTGGGCGCATCTATTTTCCTACCGATCAGGGGTACTAATCAGATGGCTGCGCGATTGGTCACGTTGGCGGTGTGGGGGATTGGTCAGACAGGTGACATGGACTCGATTCAAGCGCTTGCCTTCCAAATATATAAAGGCACTCTGTAGTTCACCGACGTCCCTCCCTTACACCGACATCATTCGACATGGGCAACAAACACTCATCTCCTGTGCTTCCCGATCAATCTCGTGAACAGCGCATTGGCGTTAACACTAATCACGACCATTCTGCACCAGTATCTCGCATCAGTCTGAGATATCACAAATCGCAGGCTTCGCTGTTGAAATCAATATCATCGCACGACACACTTTCCTGCGAGAAACCTGCGCCCCCGCCTCATAGTTATCATCCAAACGTCACTCATTTATCACCGACACTGACAACATATGCACCCTTGACACCCTCCATCTCACGACAAGATGCTGAAGCACGCGCATATAGTGCATTTCTCAAATCCTTCCCAGAATATCAGAGCACTTGGATACTTGACACCCTCCGAAGAACAGATTTTGCCAGATTAGATCGAACCGGCGAAACATATGTAGATTACATGGGTGGGGCACAACATCCTGAGAGTCTTGTTCGCGTTCACAGCGCATTCTTAACCGAATCCGTCATGGGAAACACGCATTCAGTCAGTAATAGGTATGGGGTTTCTATAAATCGGTCGCCGATCATTCCTAATTTGAGTTATAGCTCCAAGTTATCATCACGATACGCTGACGAGGCCCGGGATGCAGTTCTTTCATTCTTTCGAGCACCGCCAGGCTACACCGTTGTGTTTACAGCAAATGCAACAGCTGCGTTGAAGCTTGTTGGGGAGGCGTATCCCTTCAAGTCTAATAATGGCTATATCCTCGGTGCCGACTCTCATAATAGCGTCCATGGAATCCGAGAGTACGCTTCACGTCGCGGAGCTCAAGTACATTACATCCCATCAACTAGTACTGGAGGTTTCGTTCTATCTACTGCCAAGGTATGTCCTTGGCGCGTGTATGCGCATCAACTTGACGTAACAATGCTGATTCTTTGTCGTAGGATATCTTGAGTCAGCACAGACCACAAAACGCTTCCTCACTTTTTGCCCTAACGGGCCTTTCCAATATCACTAACGCGAAAAATCCACTCTCAATCATCGGATTCGCATCCTCACTAGGATACCACACACTTCTTGATGCTGCCGCGCTGGCACCATCATCTGTCATTTCTCTTTCGGAAACCCCTGTCGATGCTATGGTTGTCAGCTTTTACAAGATGTTCGGTTATCCGACAGGCGTCGGAGCCCTCATTGTCAAGGAGTCATTCTTACAGATCTTGGAGCGCCCGTGGTTCGCTGGAGGAACCGTTGATGTCGTCCAGGTGCCAGGCCCAGTCTTTACTAGAACGAGCGTTCTTCATGAACAATTCGAAGTATGCTTCTCTTCCAATTTATGTGCTTTCGAATTTATTCACATTGCTAGGATGGAACCATCAATTTCATGACGTTACCCGCTGTCACAGACGGTCTGCGATTTCTCTCCGCATATCTGCCATTCCTTCCTCTCCGCCTCTCATGTCTTACACACTACCTTGTCGCCTCGCTCTCTTGTCTGAGACATGATTCGACAGGAACCCCTGTCGTTAAGATTTTATCCAAGCTTCCTTCCAAAAGACTCAAGTCTGTTGGAGAACAATGTGACAGTGGATCTACAATCTCTCTTATCTTCCTCTCGGCAAGTATTCAGCTTCCATTGTTTTCTATCGTTATCTTAACGAAACTTTGGACTGCAGCCTTCAGGAGAGATGATCCCAAACAGCTTCATTGAATGTCGCGGTGTCCCGGAACATTTCTCTTCGCACAGGTTGCATGTGCAATCCCGGGGGCGCAGCCTCGTTGCTGGGTATTCAAAACCAGATGGAACGGCTGTATCCCGGCGTCACGCTTAAAGACTTTGGCCAGGTCGTCGGTCGCGAGCTCGGTGTTGTGCGGATCAGTCTAGGACTCGCAAGTAATTTCCAGGATGCGTGGAAAATTGTGATGTTCGCGTCATCCTTGGCAGATAGCCGTACACGACAGGCACTCTGGGATACCTGGACCAACGTTCCTATTGGACAGGCTATGTAAGTAGCCCGGTTTGCCACCGGATATCTGCTATGCGGATGAGGCTGTCACCATAATTAGAGCCCACAGAGAGCGAAACCTTTAGAACTTGTATATCTCTTTTCTTGGTTATTTCTTGCACACCATTTCGTCGCGCATTCATAGCCGCATCTCCTTCATCACGGATCACTTGCATAGCATAGCATAACATAGCACCATCTCATTATAATCTTGTACGTGACTTCGGCATTCGTCCCCTCTTTTGGGCCTGGTCTCTCATTTAGTCTTCTACGCCTTCTCATTGCTATCTTTCCCAGCATACCACAATTCCCGAATAATCGGATAACACGTATAGACCCCGTGTTAAGCATGCGAATACCTACATTTCCGATTTCGTACACTACATCTTATCGAAGGGATCTTCTTGTCTCACCATATCTTACATACACGCGTTCCACTACGTCACTAAGGAACATTGTATTAGCTGTGGGCGATATAATTGCAGACTCTTTGTGTCGTCCATGCCAGCTGCCTCAGGCATGCACATCAATTTTCTGTCATTCGGATCTCACTTAGGAGACTCTTGCAATGATTGGTTTTCAAGTCATGCTACCAACCTCGGGGAGAACACAGGTATCTCGCCCAAGTCTATGTACTCGAGGTAGTCCGAGATGTTGAGATGCGGTAGGGCCATAGCAGAAATAAAACTCGATCGGTACTGGACTTTACTCCTCACCTCCCTCATCTTCATCTTCTTCGTCATTGTCACATCTGCCTCGTCCTCGGAAACTTCCATGCCTGATTCTTCATCCGCTGCTTGTCTCGTCTGCGCTTAGTGCTCAGGTCATCGAGGAGGACCAGAAGATCCCTGCTCCTTCTCGACCTCCCTCTTCTTGCTATCTGATGTCTGCAACTCAGCCTCAAGCTCCGCAATACGCGCCTCTGAGTCAGCCAACTGTCGACCAATCATAGTAAGCAGCAGTATCCAGATACATCCATGACCACGTACTCGAGCTTCAGTAGCCGATAGCTCCTTGAGACGAAGTTGCAATGCGTCTATCTCCTGCACCTGAGAGCGAATGACGTCTTTGAGAGAATTGATGAGCATCGCGGACTCTGCACTTGGACCTGTTACCGCAAGTAAGTCAATGTGGTTGGTGATAGTCCTTGTCTTGCTACTGACCTGACGATGAAGCCAGAGTGCTAGGGTCCGTTGCCAGACCCCTCTGGATGGTATCTTTAAGGAAGTCATCAGATCAATGACATACAATAGAGAATCTGGTAGCGCACGTTGATTTGATTTCCAGAAGTCAACAAAAGACCAGTGAGCCAGATTTCGCCTTCCTGTTCGGCGGGTGGAGTGTTTTAGTGCCTTGGATGGACAACGAGTACCATGGATTCAGGGCGATAGACTTGAACCAGTCGTGCTCTTGTACGCGAGTCATGTGACCGAGAAGCACATCTACGCCCAAACGAGAGATGATGGGATGGATAGTAGCGCTGTTGAATACGCAAATATAAACACGCGTGAAAGACAACAGATGAAAGGCACATGCCGAGTGATCTCCCCGGTTCCCGATTGAATTCATAACAGATGCCCAGTAGAAAGGCGCAAAGTCCAGGGATGAGGTCTTCCGATCAGAAGTCTGATTAATAGGCTCCACTAACTATGGGTTCCTGAGGTCTCGTAAGTGTTCACAGAATCGGGCGAAAGACTCACTGTGCCCAGCCCGCCGGCTTCTAAGAATTCCCTTACGGCTTTAGGGTCATCCCAGAGCCACTGTGCAAGCAGACAGATGTACCCAACAATCAATCTATTCCACTCGCGTTCCTCACGGTCGTCCTCAGCCCTTGAGCGAGATAGGAAGCACAATGAGAGGTTCTCGGCAAAGAGGTGCAACAAACTCTGCGGGGCATCTTCCTCGTCCTCTTCCGGCGGCGTTGGCGCTGGAGTACTATCCGCAGGGACAAAAAGTGGTCCTTGACCCAAAGTCTCTCCAGGAATGTTGGAAGAAGGCTTGATAGACCGGGCGGCAGTTTTTGCTCTTGGGGAGCCAGATAGCAGATGAGCAAAGAGGATTGTGGCGAGATGAGTAGAGGTTACATTAGCGATGTTGAGAGGGGATGACGGGGAGAGGCAGAGAGAGTGCAGAAGGGGCGATATCATCGGAACCTCACTTGGTTCTGCAAATACAATCTGAATCGCTTTTGCCTGGTATGGGAGATGTTGCTTACGTTGGGGAGGAAGCATCCCTTGCACGATGGCATGTCTGACATCCTCTTTCCGCACAAAGTTCTATAATGTATCAATGCCGACCCTTTCTGCCGGAGGATAAGAACAATGACGTACATCAAAAGCAATTACAGCTGCGCTCCTTAACTCAAGTCCCTCCTTGGTACGACTATCACTGTATAGCCCATTGTACTCTCCGTGGAGTGCGAGCTCTACAAGTGCATCTAGCGCGGACGCCGGCTCTAGTCTGTCCCATTCTTCTCCGCGTTGTCTCAGGCACAGGCATATAGGGGGTCAAAATCACCTCCGAGAGCGGGAGAGTCAACGTGCTAGGAAGGAGATGGAGAGCCTGACGCACGCATGCAATCAGGTTTTGTATTGTGAGATGCTTGCCATAGAAAACGGACCTGAGACTTAAGGGATGTTGGTGCATTAGATGCGAGGGCTAGTTCGACAAAGCCTCGCACGAAGACAGATAGTTCTTGGCTCTGAGGAAACTATGAAACAAATGTAGAAAGGATATTGGAATCTACTGACGCTGCCTTTAGACCCGACTAACATTCCCATGAATACCAAGCACCAGTGACACATTTACCACTTTTTGTGAGTCCCAAAATTGCAGTGCAAAGTCTTGTGGAGCTGAATCTTGCAGGGAAAGGTTGGACGGTAAGAGCAAGAGGGAGCATAACAACGCTGGAAGGGACGTTTCGCGGAAGTAACTCTATCGTAGAGATCAATGGAAATGCGCTTCAAGCAGAGTATATTAATCACCTGATTCGAGCTATTATACCGAAGTAGACTGTCGACACATCGAAGTGCGTCCTGTGAGATTACACCACCCTCCAATCCGCCTTCGTGCGTGACAGTATTGAAGAGCTTTTCAAATGCACCTTCTGCATGTCAGGGCTTTGAGAAATAAGCATGTGGATCATGATGATGCTTTCTGAAAGTGTATTGGTGTTAGTGAGGGTAATCAACGACCCTTATGCTGGCCTAGGTAGACCTACATCGGATACTGTCATTTAACAGCTCTGCCACAGGTGGAACTTAAGGATGAGCACAGCTACACGAGGACTAAGTTATGTTCAACTTCCAACTTTGTCGAGACAGGTAGTATGAGCAGGTCTACCAGAGTACCACGCGTGGGACGAGAAGGAGTAGCTAAAATACACACCATTACGAATGATCTCGCACTTATCCTCCAAGACGGCAATGATACTGGTGGCACCAGCAGGGGCCTTGAGAAAATATCCTTGAACTTGAGAACGGCGGTTCTGTAGTAGCACCGAGAGCAACTGTAGTGTCGCATAACGGGTATAGAAGTGCGTGTCACCCAGGAGGGAGAACAAAACATGAACTGCCTGATCGTTTCCGATAACATAGTCCGTGTGTTTCAGCGCAAGGTCCTTGGAATCGTCATCGGGTTCACAGAGCTGGGTAATAGTCTCGAGCACGGCCTTCGCTATTTTCCGCATCTATTTCCGCATCATTCTGCAGGACTTCGAGGAGACCAGGAAGGGCCCTTTCACCGACATCTTCCTTGCAATCGCGAGCCAAACCCTTCAAAGCAAGGACAGCAGCGCGTCTGTCCGCAAGGAGAGTAGAAGGAGACAACCGGTCACTAAGCTTTGCGATCGTGTCCTGCGCAGACTGAGGAGCGCCTGTTGGACCACGAAGGGCGATATAAGTCTGCGATAAAAAGTCCATGCGAGTCCAGCTTGACGCTTGAAGACCAGTACTAGTAATTTGTGGTCGTGTTCAATGTTCAGGCCTGCATTGCCACCATGACTGACACGTGGCCTTGCAAGAACAGGCAAGAGCCTCCTGAGCCTGCGTTTAGAACGTTTAAACCACCATCCTACTCAATTCGAATTTATCGTATACAGAAGGAACGACTATATTCCTTCTATATGGTCTAACTACGGGAAACTACCCCAAGTCCACAACGTCATACCCCAGTGATAACTAGACCATCATGAATTATGATGGGCCGAACAATTAATGATTCGTGGTATATCCCGACAACCATACTCCGAGAAGTGTCGGCGAATGTCAGCCATCATCTAATTCCCGGAGTACCGCTCGTGACCTAGTTTCGCAGGGACACGAGTGAGTACTGTGTCATCTTTGTGTTGTCCTGTCGAATCATCGTGGCCGCAATCAGACCGCGGGAGTCATCGAAGATATGCCGATTGTGTATAAGCAGCTCCCAAGAGCTGGAGCTGACCTACCGCCTACAGAATGATGAATTTTTGGTGTAAAGCCCTATGACATACCCAACACTTCATTTAGAACTGATTTTTCTCCTTGCAGCCCAAGTCGTATCATCCGAGGCGCCGGGTTCACGCAATCATCAACTTGTAAAGAGATTAGGAATAGGCAATTTATGGGCCTGTTCCCTCCGATGCATGCGCGACTGCTGAAAATGTGCATCATGCTTTAAGTGTCATCTGATCCATACGAGACATTGATAAAGCTGCCTTCACATGCTTTTTGAAACCGTATCTTTTGTAATCATGGATTCTGTCTTTATCACTGCTGGTTTTGCAGCTCTAGCGATTGTCTATGGGGTGTACCGTCGATACTCTCATATCTCTTTGGCAGACGTTCCTGGCCCAGAGTCTGCATCGTTCATGATGGGTATGACTATTATCTATTGCCGGATCCCTCCGCTGCTGATATGACCACCAGGGAATCTGAAAGAACTCTACCAAGATCAGGCAGCGGATGCTGACTTCAAGTGGCAAGCTCAGTATGGGGATATCGTTCGGTTCAAGGGCTCTTTTGGCGTATGCAATGAAATTCACGCTTGCGGAATACATTTTCTGATCCTCCGCTGACTCATAGGAAGACCAATTGATGGTTTCCGACCCGGCCGCCCTGCAATACATGTTTGCAAAGTCAGCCTATCGGTTTCCCAAACCGCCTGATCGCCGCGTTCTCTCCCATTTTATCAACGGAAAGGGTATTATCTGGGCGGAGGGTAGGTCTTCGGCCATCAAATCAAACATGGAATGATCTGTAGTTAACTTTCGAAGGTGACGATCACAAACGACACAGGAAAATAATGCTCCCTGGATTCGGTGGACCGGAGTCCAAAGCGTTCTTATCATTATTCAAGAACTGCGCCGAGTCTGTAGGCATCGAAGTCACTGAATACTCTCAACTCCCGTCAATAACGTAAATTCTCACAGATGAGCAACAAATGGACGGAGATCATCAATAACTCTGAGGAGGGGTCAGTGGTGTTCAATATTCCTTCCTGGCTGTCCCGTGCGACCTTAGATGCTATCGGCGAAGGTATATGCTATCTAGGGTACACAAGCACCTTTTTCTCATGTCCTTTTCAGCTGCTTTTGATGTCCGCTTCAGCTCCATTGACGATAATGAAAGCGACCTTGCGCGCTCATACAGGAATGTAATGTCAGTCTTGACTTTTGCCAAGCATCTGACTTTCCCTTAACTGATCTGAGTTGAATTTGCAATAGGACTGACGTATTTGGATCCCCGTCAGATGGGGAGGTACTCTTTCAGGGGATTTCAAAGTGGATCCCACGTCGAATTCTCGAATACTTCGTAGAGGAGGGCCAAAACCCACGTATCGTGCGCATGCGTGAGTCAGGTAACTTGGCGACATCTGTTGCAAAGCAGTTGGTGAAAGACAAGGCAGAGATGCTATTGGGGGGCAAGGGCAGCCGAGATGTCTTTAGCTTACTTGGTGAGTCAACGTTCTCAACAGCCTCATTCAGATCTAGGCCATCTAATTATAGCACAGTGAAAGCCAATATGGATGCAGATGCAAAGGCGAAGTTAACGGAAGACGAGCTGTTTGCTCAGATGCGGTGGGTCCGTTCCGTTTGTCGTGATTGCACAGCTTTCCGATCACAGATTGTTACAATTACACAGTACTATCCTCCTCGCAGGTCATGAGACGACCTCGAACACTATCAGTTGGGGGCTTCTCGAGCTAGCCAGACACCCTAAAATCCAATCCCGTCTCCGGGAAGAGATATGGGAAACGGAAGCGGCTGTGCACGCACGCGGGGATGTCAACTTCACCATCGCTGATTTTGACGCTATGCCATATACTACTGCTGTGATGAAAGTGCGTGACGTGCTAACAATATTTGGGCTGTGGTAACATTGCGCTTGTTATTGTAGGAAGTTCTGAGATTTTGTTGTGTCGTATATCATGCACACCGATGCGCTAGCCAAGATGACGTCCTTCCGTTGTCACAGCCAATCACCACGCGATCCGGGTGCGTCATCCATGAACTACCGGTTCCGAAGGGTACCCGAATTGTCGCATCAATCGCAGCGTATAACCGGTAGGAGGATCCACATAGCGCCAAGATAATTTCTTCTGACGGTGCGCTCATATCGGTTAGAAACAAGGAGCTCTGGGGCGAGGACGCGCACGTGTTCAATCCGGATAGATGGCTCAATGGCACAGCCAAAGAGAAGAAGGTGACGTCAATAGGAGTGTACTCCAATCTGTAAGCGCTGGTCTCTGTCTTTTAACAGGCATGAACCCCTTTTTTTTCTAGAATGACATTCATCGGAGGAGCGAGGTCGTGTATCGGATGGCGCTTCGCGTGAGTGTCAACAGGTTGTGTGGCAGCGGCGGAGTGAATCTAATATGAACGTTCACTCAGGGTGATCGAAATCCAAGCCTTTCTTACGGAGATAGTTGGAAAGTTTGAGTTCGCTCCAACCGATAAAACCGAACTTATTCGGCGGGAGGCTTGCGTGGTGATGGTTCCAACAGTAGAAGGTGAAGTTGAAAATGGTGTTCAACTGCCGTTGAGGGTTTCACTGGCACCACGCACTGGTAAGGGATGTTGAGCGTCATATGCGCCAGGTTGTTGGGCAGCTATTTCCGATGCTGGCTGTAAATAGTCTTTTTGTCCGGTTCGGTGGCGCAATAGTCACATGTACGGTATTAAAGCCATGCGTTGTTGCCCAAGTTGGGTAGTACCTTGATTCCTCGTCCTCGAGTTGCTAGACGTTATCAGATACCTTGGCGGTAAATGTAATAATACGTATGCTTGACCATGGTCTCAATATGAACTACACCCTGAGGTTAGCTAGCTCGTGTTACTTGAACCTTATCGGTCTTCATTGAACTCGTCAATGCTGTCTACAACGAATATCACAGCATTACATTTCATAGTATCAGTCCGAACACAGTCACATGGTATTCGTGCAATGTACGTATTTTTTTCACAAAGAGAGGTGCGAGGTCATAGGACTAGCGGAACTGCTGCAAGAGAAATGGAACGGGAAAAATAAACATTGAAGCCCTCCGAGTCTTGCTGTGACTGAGCAGTCGCGGTGAGAAATTGAAACTCACGACAAGTTGCCAAGAAGGGCAATGCAGTCCGACAAGCTTAGGCGATTGGAACGGATGGTGCCTCGAGTCGGTGACGACTTAGGTAAGTCTTCGGACACCCATCAGAACCTACTACTAGGTTTGGGTCGCCGCGAGGCTCATTTAATTGGTACAAGCTCCAGCAATAATGAGGGTGGCACCGCTTGGAGTGAGGAGCATTCAAATGGTGATAACGACGCAGTTACCGGAGCGGAGCGCTGTCAAGTATTGTGAGGTTGTGATGGGGTGAGAACAGTGAGAAAGTTTAGAACGTACGAGAAGCTGCTGTGTAGCGTGACGTACCTAGTACATTCCAGAATGCATGGCCATGCGGCATGGTGCCATACAAAATGACCAATTGGGACTCGAAATACGTGAACATTGAAGCTTTAGGGAGACGATCGGGCTATAGAGAGGCACGTTCGGGTATTGCCGTTGAAGTTGACCGACTCGGAGTTCTGAAGAATTTCAAGGAGACCAAATTAACATAACGCTGGCCTGTAGACATTAACTCACCTCTAAGACTCAGCTAGAACATTTCAGGGTGACTGCGCTTGAAGTTAACGTTGATCTTGGTGGAGACCGATGCCGATCGATCCAGAATTAAATGTTGGAGCAGCAAAATAACTTCCGCGGCGCAAACGGTTCCGCTACAACAAAAATTTGGTTCATGAATCATCGCCTTCAGTACTCCTCCCATTCACTCACATTTATCTCCATGCTGTCCTGTGCAGGATCCCAAGCAATCCTATTTATTTGCAAATTTCACCTGAAATTACAGTCAGACCCTCCTGATTAATCACGACCCTACTTAAAAACCAGTTGGATTCGTACCTTGCTGATCAGAACCTCTCTATTCCCCTCTTCTAGACTTGCTTTCAACTCTGCTTTGAACAACTCACGGAAGGGATTTCTCTTGATATGGATCCTAACCTCCCCTCTCTATCTGATGTTCTTTACCAAGAACTAAGATCGACCGTTCGCGGAGACACATACCGGAGAGGCGATCCCAGGTATGTATCCCCTGGTTACTCCCTGACACCTCTGACAGGGATTGTAGTTTTCTGGACTATTCTAGCATGTTTAATGGCGACATCAAAGTTTCCGCTATGGCTGTCGTATGTCCCCTTGACGCTCCAGACGTTAGCCAGTAAGTTCCAAACTCTTAAACCTGTCAGATTTTTAATTATCTCCATAGAGTCATCTTGTTCTGCAGAAAGCATTCGATTTATGCTTCCGTTAAGGCCGGAGGTTATGGCACCGCTGGTTGGGCAGTAGGAGGCGACATTATTATCGACCTCTGCAAGATCACCGACATTGACATCGAACCTCCCGCTGCCGATGGCTCCTTTACGAGTATTCGAGACATGTCCTTGCTTAGCAGCAAAGGGAAGGTCAAAGCGGGCCCTCCCCTTTTAGATAGATCTGCTACTGTTGCTAGCAGCAAGCGAAGAAGGGAAGACGACGACGAGCTGAGGTCTTACGACCTGGCATCTGCAACTGTCGCAGATTTTCTTTACCCAGGAGGATCATCCACCCCATTTGCCGATCGTCCTCCCGTCACTCGACGAAGGTTGGAATTCGCGGCTCCCGCGGTGGAGACTCCACAGATGTCCACTTATCCTGCGACGTTGGGCAGTAGTCATGACCCTAACGCGACGTTGTTATCCTCTAACTCCCTTGGTTCTTCTATTGCCATGGTTTCTCACCCCTTGGCTTTTAATCTTCCATCCATGGACGATGCCACTACCGCCGTTTCCCCACCTTCTCCGCTACCAGATACCAGTTCAAAGCCCCCCTCATGTTCATCCCCATTGGATGACCCATTTTCCTATCTAGATGACGCACCCAACAACCCCGTACCACCTGTTGCCTCCACTTCTCGACTTGCACAGTCCATGCCCAACGCATTGTTTGCCACGCCGAGTTTCCTCGAGTCTCCGACTAACTTTCTAACTTACGCAATGCCCATCTACTCTCATGCCTTCATGACATTTGGTGCAGGAAAGAGACAGAAGGAAATCGATCAGTTCTCAGCGGCAAACCCTTTAGAAGCGATGTCACTAGCTGGCGGACGTGGCGCTGTCCCATATCACGTTCCATCGTAAGCATTTTTCTTTTCCCGGATTTTTATCCTCGCTCACCTGGTGGATCAGTGCGGCTCATCCTGTTGGTTCAGCGATCATGATCTTGGGAGGCTTTGGATTCTTGGGCCGTCTTCATGGCTTGAGCAGTGACAACTTGGTAGAAGCAGAAGTCGTTCTGGCAGACGGTCAGATCGTCGTGGTCAGCCACAATGAACACCCAGGTGCGTATTATACATATAATGCTATCCACCTGGTTGTGACTAACGTCTAGATCTGTGGTGGGCACTACGCGGTGCTGGCCCAGCCTTTGGTGTCGTTACACGCTACAAAGCCAGAGCTTATCCAGTTCCCGTCGTCTTTGCGGGTAATCTCATTTAGTGAGTACTGTCTCTTGTTTGTGTTAGATCGTAATTTCACACTGCTGTTCACAGTCGTTTTCATCGCGCAACTGCGCCATCACTAATCAAGCACTTTCGCGATTGCGTCAAGGGTGCTCCCCGGGAATTGTATGCCAACGTTCTGCTTACGGCTGGTCCTGCAGGGCAGGATTCCTTAGTTGTTATCCAGATGTGTTACGTCGGTCCCAAGATAAAGGGTCAGGAGTTTTTACAGGCCATTTCATCGTGGGACGGTGGACGGTGTCTTCTCAATGAGGTCGATGAGAAGTCCTTCCTTCATCAACAAGACAGCGTTGCACAGGTTCTCCGTGGAAAAGGTTAGCAGTAGATTTAATTGAATCAACATGCGTCTTCTGAGATGTTTGGTACCGACAGCAGGAAACAAGTGGTTCATACGATCTGCGCTTATTAGCTCGCTTCCGGATGATATCGTGAATAAGACGGTCCTTCAATTTGCGGACACGCCTGTTGGCTGCAGTACGTCTTTTTTGCCCGGTCCTCGTTTTCGATCTCTTATTACATCTTGGACACAGCGTGGTTGTTCGAATTGGCTGGTGGCGCACTCGGCGATTTCGAGGATAATTGTATACCGAAGGCACAACGCCAGGCTTCCTTACTGTTGCCGCGTTGCATCAGTGGGATATTGAATTCCAAGATCCCCGTTGTGTCCATTCCGCGGAGGAGGTAAGGATGTTATCATCGAGTTACTTGTTCCCATACTCACGTACCATGCTCGTTAGTGGATTGCAGAAACTTTGGCACCGGTGACGCTCGGTGGCCCCTTGCCAAGCGTATGCGTTTCCTCCTCACCCACATCTGATTTTTATCATTTACATCACCGACAGTTCTTAGGTAGACAGGAGCCTCCTGGTCGTGTCATTGCTTGCTACGGCGAGAACTGGGCTAGGCTGTGCGAGGTGAAAGAGAAGTATGACCCTGACAACTTCTTCAGGAATTCTTTTTGGCCACTAAATGCACAGGGGGAGATCATTGAACCCGAAGAGCATGAGCCTCAGCACATCCAGTTCTGAGCCAATTAAGTGCTTCTCGCTCCGTTATTTTGCTATGTATTTATGTATAGTCGCACCGGCGGGATCTAGGGCCAAGGTTGTTGCATGTTTGTACGCCATAGATTTTATGGGTTTTTGGGCGTGCGGATACGGTGATTAAGACTGTAGCTACGTAGTTTTTTTTGGTTAGACCAATCTCTGGACACGATGTTTGGGTACATGTTAATGTCACAGCTATGCTTTGTTCTCTCGGAAGGAATTTACTTCTCTCATATTTAAATCGATCAGTTCATGAAATTGCTCAAGCCCCCCACGAGCGGTACTGTCATGTTATTGAGATAGTTACAGTTTCAACGGTAATTCAGTGCCAATGCATGATCGATCTGGTCCACTGTACGTAGCCTAGCTACGCACAACTTATAGTCATGCATGGCATGGTGTTACCATATAAGTAATTCGATGATCACTACCATAATGGGAAAAGCCCCCCGACCGACCTGTCGGGGCCAGGCCTCAGGCGCTGCACCGCTTTCTTTCATTCATATTTCAAGTCATATTCGATGCGTCGGGTACTAGTGCATATCCGATCCTGGCTCCCGCTGCATCCCTATCCCGCCCGCTGCCACACTGCTGTGCCAGCTGCCTTTGCGTAGTCACGGTGTGGCATCCACTATGCTCTAGCACTACCGTGACACCCCTGCATGCATACTCTCTCGCACGCTCTCGCAATTCTCTCACCGCTCAAAACTCCCCTTATGCGGCCATTGTCTAAGAACACCTTCTTAATCGTCCTTGAGGCTTTGTGCAAGAGCGTGGTATTTCATTTCATTTCATTTCCTTCTTATTTTTTTTATACGTGGCATCAAGTAATTTATTCGACCTCATTCACCGGATTTCGACGACAACTTCATTTGGATGAAGTCTGACTCGGAGTGCCATAAAAATTTCAGAACAGCCTCAAGTTAATTAATAAGTTTTCCCGGTCTTTTCGCTAAGTCCTGCCTAGTAAAGACCATATATTTTACTTAGTGCTAGTGCAACTTTAGAATTGACCTCGATGTATTTCGCATTGAAAAGAAGGTCCAGGGAGTACTGTCTTCCTTCTTCGAGGTTCTTAATTCTACGGGAGGCTGACCCGGCATGTCGCATATCTTGTTGTGTTGTCTGTGGGCGTGTTTACCCAGCAGCTCCACTTATCTGCAGCTTTTCGGTGATTTGGCTTTCGACGACAAAGCAGGACCAATAAAAGGTTTGCGCTGTTGAATAACCAATGGATAACCTTGTCATATATACTTTGTACCTTTTATGCACAAAAGTATGATTGGGTAAGTTTTGTTCTTGATTCACTCACGCGTTGTTATCATATCTGATTTATGATTTACAACTCGGCTACGCCCGGTCCGCGTTCTTATTTATGCCTTGGTGGAGTCGACTATACCAGCGGACGAGAAACAAGTTGGTGTTGTGTACATGCATGTAATGACATATGGACTATCTTATGAGTGGCTGCAACGCAAGTTCCGAGGGTGTGTATGTACAGAAGTGAATAGCTGGTCCTCAAAAAAGTCTTAATTATCCTCTAGTCCGTTCAGCCGCCAAATGGTACACAATCTGCCTCTATCCATCATGGTGACGGTCTTGTTCATCACCGTCGAAATACGCCACCTCCTTCTCAAAAACAGGTCTGTTTCTCTGCGTCAAGTGGTTTCGGATGCATTTCCCTGATCCGTTGTGTTTGCATCTGAGGATGCTCACACCATTGTATTGGAGTCGAACAACATCCGTGTGCACCGTGTGGGGACCACGATAACAGGCAGTGAGTTCCATCATGCGGAAGGTACCACTCCCAGGTTCTTCCTCCGTCACAGTACCATAACCTCCGCAACACTCCGACATCCATTGGAATTCTCCACTGTAAAGACGAAGTGGATCACAGCGGGAGTCAAACACGTGGGGTACGACGCAAGCCGAGGGGTAATTGACTGAGAAATCTTTATGGCACCGAATGCAGTGCTTGCGGGATGTAGGCATGGTTGCAGCATAAGTTATATTCTAACATTTGGGTTAAACCTAGTACGCAGAGCATTGTTATAGTAACTCACCTGCGGCCCTCGTAGGCTGTGTGCGAGAATAATAAGCATCCATGGGTGTCCGTGAGGCTTACGGTACATTGACGAGACAGACTATATAGCATTCTCGTTGGAGAGGACATAGAACAGTACGCCTCCTTCGAGCTGTGCTTACCATGGCCACGTGCAGCAAAGGCACAGAAGACAGTTCGGAGTAGGCATCGAAGCTTTCAAGTGTACCTGATGCCATGCAGATGAAGAAGTTATAAAGCCACATTCCTTTCAGGTGTCCAATACGCCGGTCATGAAAATCAACCAATAGCAGGATGCCCAGCACAAGGATTCTACGAGGCGTCCTGAGCTTCACAGGTACGGCAGCAAGAAGTTGACGATGATGGCTCACTGCTCGCAAATGCAACACAGTTCGCTCCCGAAAGTACTTGTAGTCTCCAAGCAATGCTTTGACTGTCGCATCATACCGGCCGCTGATATTAAGTATGTCAAAAATGGGCGTTACTAACTACGCATGTAGGAGGTGTGGGAAGCGTATAAGTGCGCATTACCTGTAAAGGAGGATCCTTACGAGTCGGCCAACTAGATTGACGAATACTTGTTATTAACATTAACTGATAACGGTTGACATTTCACGCACGGAGATGTGCCAGTGGGTGGAGGGTCCGTTGTATCAAATTCTCAGACAACCTTCTGCAGATCCCCGGGAAGACCGGAAGGTAAGACGACATGCATCGCGAGGCCACACTGCATCAATGATAGAATCAACAATATTTAATGGAGCTGTTGAATGGAGCAGTGGACGTACCTGTTATACCAATTAGACGTCCTACAATTCAACCCCCGTTTGTGAAATATGACTTACATGGGGCACACCCACTTATTATCCAGCAAAGAAATTTTCCTCGGTGGATCTGCGAACAATATCAATAGTAATCATTACGCTGCAAAAGGCTCCCATTCTGGCTCTGAGTGTGTTGTTTGTTTGTGTTAGGATCTAAAGCTCAGAAGAGTGTCACTTGTGTGTCACGTGACACGGTGCTCCCATTAACATTGACTCATGAATACTCATGAGTTGCTCATGTGCTGCTGACTGGACGACCCCTGTTAAATTTTCGGACAGATTATATCTGCTATCTTACTCTTGTCCGAAGACTCCGAGGGCACAGGTTTTCAAAGAATCGGTTGCGCAACTGTGCTGAAGTGCTCAACTGGCAGAGTCCTCGCCTGAAGCTGAACGGTGAACGACTTCAAGTACAGCGACGCTCCTTTTCGATTGTGAACTTTTGATAGAGACATGTCTAACATTTTGAGGAGTCAGAGTATCAAAATGTTACTCCAGGATATGAGAAGGTTTTCAATGGACCAAAGTGAGTTATTTCCCTCCAAACCATCGCCTCCATAGTTTCATGAAGTTTTATTTCAGTGGTTATCTCTCTCTACATATACATGTCCCATTTTACACAAACCATTGGGTATATGCTGTTCGTCGTCCCCATTTCCTCTTGAAGCTTACTGTCACGTCTAAGCATGCCCTTGATGGTGGAAAAGGCCCCAAAAACACTGACGTTGGCCATCGGCTCAAGAAGCACTATGTAATCCGCTAAATGCGGGCAAAAGGTTTACATGGTGCTTTCGTTTTTATTCTCGCATCTTCGGGATGACAGCTTCGAGAGCATGTGCTTCCGTACTCCGCCGAGATGTCATCTCAACCTACTTGGAATAGACGTCACTTCAAGGGAAATCCGTACCATGCCCACATAAATTCTTGATGCATTCGCAAAAAGATGGGGGTTCATCATGACGCCTGCCGTCACCGGAGCGTTACTCTTGAAGTGAGCTCTATCATAGAAGATGTCGTCAATCTCGGGTTAAAGAATGGTGAAGCACTCGAAGGATTTGCGCACGCATATTGATGATCCAAAATGGGGTTCACCGCTCGCGATACCCGTTTTCAGGACGCTCTGCGCAAGTTCACGATGACTTTACCGCCAAACCGAAAGGATCAGCTGAAGGTTCCCGACTGTCAAAGCCGACCAATCTGAAGTGGAGTCGAATATGCGAAGAAGAAATAAGGCGTAGTCTTAGTGCGTTTTTGGAGTCTAGCAAACACATCATTGATACTTACTCGCGAAACGTTCCTGAAATAGGCGAAGATCGACAAAGGGAAGAAGGGGTTAGTTGCCGAGTGAAGCGCCGCCGCCCACCAAGGAGATCGAGAAGGCAGTAATCGAGGGTAATCGTACCTATTGCCATTCCTGGGCGTAGCCATACCAAAACTTCTGTCTCACAGTGCCTTTAAGCCTGTGGTTCCTGCTTCACGAGCACAACTCCCGTTTCCGTGCGCCTGCTCCTCTATTTAATTATGGACACACATAGCAAACCAAGAGTGACGATATTCCAGCGAAGAAACTCACTCCTGTGACCTTGCAAATCAGGAAGATTCCCAGCCTCGTGAAGGACCACGGTGTGATTGTACATAGCCGACAAGTATGGATTACGCTCGATTTCATGATTGTCGTGGCGCTGAACCTACTTCGGGAACAATCACTTATGCAACTTCGTGAATCATTACGGGAAGACGTGATGTTGCCCAAATGGCCCCACCCCACCGTGCCTTCCTCGTGTCGAGTCTGGTCGAGTTACTAATTAGGCACTCGATTGACCGCCAGCGACAATCCATCACATATCTGGCTTTCGGTGACAACCGCCAACTCTTCGATTTGATACTGGCCAATGCGCATGAAGACGTCATAGGGCAGTTCATCCATATACTTCTGAAGAGCTTAGTACCGAGGCATGAACAAGAAAATGGACCTGCAAGATACTGTTAACAGCAGAACAAGCCGCCGCTGGGTTCGTCAGCATCCTTGGTCTTCGGCAGTCAAGTCGAGAAGAGATTGAGCGGTCGTATACATGCCCGACACTACGTGCCTCGCACAAAGAAGGCCGCGTGAAGAAGAAAAGGACGACGAACGGCTCACGCCACGGACTCCTCCCGGAATTTGATCTTGTCGATGTCACCGGAAAGCGCAGTAAACGGGCATCGGATGCGCCGGAAAGCGGAAAAATGCTTGGAAATACTCCCATTGTCGGAAGACATATTATTGAGCGCTTCCCCATGTCACGGTGGCGTGCAAGAATACCCTCCTGTGATGTTGAACTTTGGAACCGTATTTCTAGCTGCGATGTTCATAGCTGAACAGCTTGTTCTGGACAGCCGGACTCGTTGAAGAATGCCGTACACAAATACAACAGAGTACAAGCTTCAATCCGCAAGAATGTATTGCTCAACCCAGGCACGAGCATCTCGGTCACGCGTGACTCTTTGGATGCACCCCATGTTTCTGCCAGTGAGGTGTCTCAGGCTGATGCGAACAAATAGTACATGCAGCATGATGATGCAGGGCAATGAAGCATCGAGGTGGCTGTTCTATTCACCAAAGGCCAAGTTTTTCGTCCGTTATTGGACAAAGGCAGAGCCTAGCCTGCCGCAGGTCTGATGTGTGCAATCCGCATGGTTATGGCTTATATCATTATGTGGCATGGGGCAGATAGCTGACACCAACTTGAAGTGTGTCAGTGTTTCGGCGGTTTTCAAAAGGTCACCCACCTGAGTCCACCAAGCCTCATTATCTGTCATGGCCAGAGGCCCAGAGTTACCGAAGACCAAACCATCTGAAACTGCTGGCTTCACTAGAAGCTCGGCAAGAACTGTAACATAAATCAAAGGATGCAAGAAATATACTATGCCAGTGTCAGGAAATCAGAATATCAGAAAAGCCGCAGCAGTAAGAAAAAGAGGATGTGTTCGCGTACCAGGTATGTTTTACTGGATATTAATAATCGTCTGCCAAGAAAAAGAATCCGACCTGCCTGGCTCGAACAGGCGACCTCAAGATGACATTTATCCAATTACAGTCTCGCGCTCTTCCAACTGAGCTAAGGTCGGATGACTATCAATAAAATCATTTCTATCTTCACCAATTACACAGCGGCGATAGACAAGTATCCTCAGACGTGGTCTGAGGTCTGAAATTTGAATATTGGACCCTATGATGGCCTTCATTCCAAGGCGTCACCTTCGAATTCTGACGAAGGTGTTTATTGCTTTGGCTCTCATCTTGGGTGCAAAACTCGTACTTAGCCCCCACTCTTCATCCTCATTGGAGCCATCAGTCTTCCAATCCTACAACGTCTTTGAGCGCGTTACGGGTGTAAACAAGATTCTAAATGTCCGAAAGTACAAATTCTTGCAAGGGAGGGCGGGGAGAGATGTCGGGAAGGATATCCTTGACGATGTCATAGCCAACGGGGTCACTGATTATTGGAATCGGTTTCAGACACCATTGTGAGTTGTCCTCCAAGTCCCCGTGATATCTGACGCGACGCCCGACTAGAATAACGGGAAAGGACACCGCTCACGCAGATCTTCAGAACGTTTTGACTGCTGTCGAGAGCTTGCTATCTCTTAATGGCTGGGTGGCTGCGTATTGTCCGACACTAGCTCGCCCGTTCGGACAAAACAAGAACGTTGACGAAGATGCCTATGATGACCTCGCCAATGATGACCGACTTTATTTCGTAGCAATGGCAATTCATTCAGCCGATCATTTCCTGGTCGATCAACTGTCTGTCATCGTCCAACTTGTTAAGCGACTGGGCACTTCCAATGTCTTTGTGTCTATGTTGGACTATGACTCTACAGATTCCACGGCCACTCTTACCGACCTCTGTGAAGCCGTTCTGACCCTTTTGGGTGTCTCCTTCCGAATTCGACGTGTACCTGGGATGACAGAAGACGCAACTGCAGCCTATTATCCCCTGGAAGAAGCCTACATGCGCAACCTCGCATTAGAGCCTCTTCTTGAGCTCTACCAGAAGCGCGAAATTGAATTTCATCGGGTCATTTGGTTGAAGGGATTCACATGTCCAAATGACATCCTCGAGACATTGCGTGTTAGCGTTGCGAACGAGGCTGCCATGGTATGTGGGATGGACTGGGCAGAATCCAATGGGCAGTTCATATTTTCTGACAGGTCGGTTATCCATATTTTTTCCTTCATAATTTGAGCCACATGTAACACTTTTTTGAGGTGGCGGACACGAGACATTCACGGCGACCAATTCAGGCAATCCACATCCTCAGCGAAACCAGACGCAGTCCCTCCTCGAGATGAGAGCGGCGCTGCCCGATACATACAACACCTTCCCTTCCAAGTCTTCTGCTGTGAATCAGGCACCCACATCGTCGATCCAGCTCAATCCTACTACAAAGGGCTCAAATACCGCTGCGGTACCGATTTTCACAACGCGTCCTCCTCGTCGGACAGCGTACCCACACGCGTAGCCGATGCACCATGTCTGGACAGCAGCCAGGCCTGGTTCTGCAGAGACCTGTGGATCAGCAATGCGCTGAGTGACTTCCACGAGGACGAGGTCGTACCTACGTCTGAAGTCCAGCCGCTCTCACGCAGGCAAGTCCCTGACGAGGAACCGGACGCAGACGTGAATGCTGGCTCTGATTATGATGCCATGCCGGACTCAGATGTACCTATTGATGTGTTCCCTGCAGCGCCCTTGTCTGTGCCCAATTCTGCATACACTCCCGCACGCATCCTGGTGAACCCCCGCTGTGTAACGACATATGCTGGTGTGAGTCATACCCAGCTTGCGCTCGATCTTTTCGGTACTGGTGATGATGACGAAGCTCAAATCAATGCCACCAAATATGTATTAGAGGACTGGGATGGTGCCCCGGAGAGCTTCGTGTGTCAGGAACAAAGGTACATACTCCGTTCCTTTATTTGTCATTCTTTTAACACTGCTGCAGGCAAACCGGAGGGAGAAAGGCAGCCAAAACCCAGCGCTTGCTTGGATTTGCTATTCATGACCAATTACGATAGAACCAACTGCTCGATTTATATATATTATGTATCTGGTCTCTCCTGCGGGCAGTCTGGATGATATAGTGGAACTACGAACTACCTTGTTCTTCTCTTCTTGCTGAAGCCCTTGAAAGCGACACCATCATCAGAATCATCATCAGCAACGACACGCCTTCGCTTACTGGCCCGAGCACGGGCAGCAGGCGTAGAAGGCACTGGCAATTGTTCCTCGGAAGACCCAAAGCCTGCATCGTCTTTGCCGTCGTCATCATCGGAGTTCAAAAACAATTTCTTTGTCTCCTTTGTACGTGCTGGCTTGCGAACGGGTTTTTTGATGGTTTCAAGGGTTTGTGACTGGGTGTCCTCCTCGTCAGAGTCGATCCCCAGCGCACGGCGCTTGCCTTTGCTTCGCTGAGTCCCATTTTCGGTCACCTGCGAGTCCTTAGTGTAGTCTTTTGTGTCTTTCCAGTAACCTGCGAAACGATGAGCTCGCTCCTTCGAAGGAGCAACTGAAGCACCCACCTGCGCCCATGCCGTAGTCATTCTCCTCTGCAAGCACGAGGTCGACCGGTGGACGACGGGGTCCATTTATTTTCTACCCTGCGTCAACAAGATCCTCCACGGCACCAATACACCTGATGCTTACCTTCTTAAATTTCTTGAAATTCGGTACGTTCATATTAGCAGAGTCGCGAGTGTCATTCCTAACAGCCTCGCGATAGCGGTCCGAGTGATTGTACACCTCCAGATCCACAATGACCATGAAGTTCCCTCTGATGTTTGGGAGGTCAAAGTCCCCCATATCCGTCCACTGCTGTTCTTCGCGCTGCAGATCCGGTTTCGCTATCCGTAACTTATTTAACTCGCGGTCAAATTCATCCTCGGTCTTCTTCCCGCGCTTCTTCGAAGCAACAGCAGTGAGGAAGGCCTCATCCTTGTCGACAACGTGCTTGTCGCCGTCAGTGGCTTTCTTGGACTTTGCTATCGTCCGGCATTGTTCCGATGGCTGGCGGGACAGAGGTGCCTTTGATTTTGTCCTAGTTTGGGTGGCTGGCATTTGTCCTCCATCCTCTTGCACCGGGTGCGGCACCTCAAATGCAACAGACTTGGCCCGCTGTGAAGGCCCGCTCATGCTCTCTTCTTCCTCTGCTACAACCGGTAATCGCTTTGGCGGTGCAAAGGCAGGCGACCGCACTGTCTGTGTAACGCTCTCATTTTGGGTGCCTACCACATTGTCATAGCCTGCGTCAAAAGCCTGCGAGCCCTCAAGAATCATTTTGTTTGGGTCTGTCGCCTCAAATAAGGCCTTGAACTTCTTGTGCGGAGGTTCTTCCTCAACTTCGTCGACGTCGATGGTAACAACAGGTATGTTGATCTCGGGAGGCGGAACTCCTGGCATTCCAGGCAATCCTAAGCGGCGTTTCAAGCGCGGGCGACTGCCCGACGGTGGTTTCTAAATGATCAAATCAGGAGATTATGTCGATGAAGAATAGACCAGACATACAGGTGCTTGCGTAGATTCAGATTTAGCTTTGTCGACATCTGACTCTGGTTTATTGAAGTTCATCAAAGATCCTTCGCTTGTCTCAGTTGGCAAAGGCACTCGTCGCACCAGCTGTGGTTTCTCAGTGAAGTCCCTACCTGCATGCAGGCTTGGTACGTACCTTTCGCTTCGGCTTGGCAGGCGGAGACTCGGGAATAACGGGAGGCTCGGGCGAGCGCATAGCAGAATCGTGTCTTCTGCTCCCGGGGGAGACAGCGCGTTGGTTTTTATCCATAGAGATTTCTTTGTCTGCGCCATCCGGGAAAGATGGCTCGTCGGGATGCGTATTGGGAACAAAGGAAGGCAAAGAGGAAGAGTGGCTTGATGATTCTGTATTTATGGAGACGACCTTAGTATAATAGAATTGAAGAAAATTATGATGAAAGAACCTTGTGAACCGCTTCCGGAGGATGCGATGCGAGACGCGTCCACGTGAACAACAGCCTCAAGAACTGTCTCCAGTTGAACGACATACACGCTCAGGCTATTGAGTATATTTATCAGCGAAGCATTTTCAGGTGATTCATGTCACCGACCTTGCAGCATCTGCAACCATTTCTTTCCACTTCTCGTCATCAACAGCCCTCTGTATTACACTATCTTTCGCCAGCACGACCATCCCCTTCCCTGCCCCTCTCAGCTCTTCGACTTTCCTCTTTCCCTTAGCAATCACCTGCCTCCACTTCGCGAGCCCCGCCTTCAGATTGAATCCTTCATATTCTGCGCCACCCCTTACGACCAGGTCCCTCAGCTCTGCATCAACTTCCCCATTCTCTGCGGGAAGAACGAAGCGGAAGCCCCTCAGTAAGTTCAACCTCTCTTCATTTGGCTCCCAATGTTTGAAACTCTTGAGCGCAGGAGGGAGGGCAGGTCCAAATGCGGGACGGTACTTGCTCTCAATGGGTGGGACAAAAGACTTTTCGAGGGCAGTCAAACCAAAAGAATCGTCTTCTGCAAGAGTACTGCCAAGTCGCACAAGTTCTTGCAACCATTCGGGCTTGACAAGTTGAGCGGCGCAGAGCAAAGAGGTCATGACTGGGGTTGTCACTTCGTACTTTGGTGCGATGTGATGGGTGAGAAGCTCATGCGCCGAAGCAAGCGTGCTAATACCTGGGTGCGATGTCAACAAGCCCAGTTGAATCGGGGATGACACGAACCAATTGAAGCGCAGTCTTCAGAAGAAAACAAGGGCATGCCTCTGACTGGAGGGACAAAACATGCTATTCGTCGCCATCGTACTCTGGACAGTGTTAGATTCTATCTCATAGATTTCGGGTCACCTACTCCACTACAATACCAGCAACGACCGTAATGTGGTCTCCATCCTCCAGAGTAATAGAGGCTGACGGATTGCAGGTCACGTCCCCTTTCTGTCGCTTTACCATGAGGCTCTTGAGCTTGTTATTAGCTAGTTCAAGTGTGGGAACGTATAATGGATCGGCCTAGAGGACTAGTGAGATGGACTTTGCATTGAAATTTGGTTCGTACCATGTTATCCGGCGTATATGGGCCCACTCTGAATTCGCAAGCATCACGAGAAATCTTTTTGTTGTTCACTACCAACGGTTGTTCTTTGCGACCTAGCCCGTAGTTTTTCCCAGGCTTGAGCAGTTTCGTCTCTGTGATCATGGTGAGTATCAAGGAGAAGAAAGAACAGTGATAGAGACTGACTGGTAGTTGTCGCATCCCCCTGTTCGACGCTATCGAATGGACCGGTGATGAGCCACATGATAGTCTGTTAAAAACAGTGAGAGTGTAGGATTATTAGAATGATGGAATGCTGGCATGAACCAGCACTCCAGAAGCTAGTCGAGGTATATGAGAGAGAGCAGTCGCGCAGCGGCAAAACGCGCCCAATAATAAATGGCATGTGACACGGCCACGTGACCATTGACTGTTGGTCCAGACTCCACGGTTTCGTTTCCAGAAGTTTAACCGTGACGGAAGTTCAATAATTGTTCAAACAAATATTACATTGAACTTCTGAAGACGACCATCATATGGATACCTATAGTCACGCCAAGCTGAATTCCCTTCTTCGGTTCCCTTTCATATAGCATAAAATGCGGGGATGTCTGACCGTTTATAAGTAATCACCGTTCCTTCTTCCTCCAGTTGAAGCCATGTTGCCACTGACTAGCCTGAAAATCGTCCTGTCGTTCCTGCTCGTCGTCGGATCCCCAGTTTTTTCTATTCCCTTGAACACCCACACAACCGCTGTTAGCCTTGCCGCTAAATTCAAAGCAGCTGGTGTGACCAATATCGTCGCAAGCGATAGAGCACGCGCTCAATCGCTGCATCAGGCTGCGAAAATCGGCAAGCAGTATGCAAATGCATCCATCACCAACGTCGCACCCATAGGTTACACTGTACAGGTGGGTATCGGTAATCCAATGAAGCACTGTGCGTCATTCGAGTAAAGACCTATAACCGTCATTTATGAGTTCACCATGCCAGATGGACTTCTTGTGGATACTGCTAGTGGTAATACATGGATTGGAGCAGACCAGTATTATACCATTACCAGGACCAGTACTGACACTGGAAACACAGTCGTATGTACCTACTCCTTTATACTATCATTTGATGCTCATACCTCACTCCAAGGCTGTCTCCTACGGATCCGGCAATTTCTCTGGGAAAGAGTACCTAGACACTATCACGCTGAACTCATTGAGCATCAGCAACCAATCGATCGGGGTGGCAGACACATACCAGGGCTTTCGCGGTGTCGACGGCGTCCTTGGTATTGGTCCCGTGAGCTTGACAAAGGGCACGGTGTCTAACACGGACACAGTTCCCACCATCATGGACAACCTCCTCAGCCAAAAGTCCATACACTCTGAGATCCTTGGTGTTTACTTGGTTCCTGTATCGGAAGAGGATTCGACTGGCACACTCACTTTTGGTGGTTGGAATAGCTCTTTGATGACAAGTGACATCACATATGCCCCCATTACAACTGCCTCGCCCGCTCGTAATTACTGGGGAATCGACCAGTCTATCACTTACGGCAATTCAACCATCTTGTCTTCGGCGGCAGGAATTGTCGACACTGCCACTGTACTCATTCTAATTGCGACGGGTAAACTCACATCATATGCGCCCAAGCAAATACTGAATCCATACCAGATGCCTTCGATGCTTATAAAACTGCCACTGGTGCTACCTTGGATGAGACCACGGGGCTGCTCAAGATTACTTCAGACCAATACAGCCGCCTGAAACCCCTCATATTTACCATCAGAGGGACTGCGTTCACACTCACTCCTAACGCGCAAATCTGGCCTCGCTCAATGAATAGTGTCATCGGTGACACCAGCGGCAACAGTGATAACATTTACCTTATTGTTGCGGATATTGGCAGCGAAACCTTCGGTTTCGTCAGCGGGTACACATTCCTGTAAGTGATCGTATTGTTTCGAATCATTGCACAACTAATTGTGGTGTTTGTGCTCTTAGCGAACGTTTCTACAGCATCTTTGATACCACGAACAAGCGGGTTGGATTCGCCACGACGGCGTATACTGAGTCGACTTCGAACTGAGTGTAAGTATATATTGCACAATTGAATCTACAAGACTGCGGGCTGGATCCGCTCGAGGTATTATTCCACGCATACTCTGTAACGCAATGTGAATACAACCCCCATTTCAACATGACATAAGAAATACCGTCGTTTGGCTTGAAACAGAAGGAACAATTATCTTCATTCTATCAAAGTCTGACTACAGGAGACTACTAATTGCCTGGTCGAAACTACTAGTGAAACGGGACATGGAACAAAGCTCAAAGCAGGGCCCTGTCTCTTCCTGAAGAACTCCGGTTGTACATTCTGAGCTTTCTTCCTTGCCGAGATATTATTCGTTGGACTGATTTGTGAGTCACACTCTATGATCGTGTCGCAATATGTCAGAGTAGTCTTTTATACTGACAATAATCCTTTTGCAGGTATGTGAGGCCCTTAGCCAGACGCCGTACATGTTCTCCTCCGAGCTTCAGTACATCGTGAAACTCAGTCACGGTGGCCAACAATTGTTCCTTGTTCCAAACACGGACGATCACACTGCGATTTCCGAGCGTCTACAACTGTCTCTTGAAGCGAGGCCGAGGGACAGAGCCCACGACAGTGGTTTACATAAGATTGACTTACACCCTTTCAAAATGGACCCCTTTCCAGAAAGAGCGCTGAGAAGACGGCCGTCACTCATAGTAGGTATGTGACAAAAAGACACATTCAGCCAGGACCATTCATGATTCCAATAGTACCAAAGCCCCGAACAGCAACAGACATTCGAGCGTGACTGCAGGGTCTCCAGAAACATTGATTCCAATACGCTACTCTGGTGGTGTGTTCATGGACCCAGCCCCAAACCTGATCGCCATCGTGTGTATTGTTGATGAGGCGGTCAATATTGACCTTAGAACCCTGGCCGTTCATCTCCAAGCTGATGCTGTCGGGACTGGCCGGATACGACGAAAACTGGGATGCAACAATGAGTGCGGAGCTCAAAGGTTTCGGGAGACATGTCGCCTTGCGAATTCAGAGTCTCAGAGTCAGAGTGATGACATTCGGGTGGATGATGGTTCCAAATAGAGGCGAAAGTTCTCGAGATTTGTAACAATCAAGTAACAATTCGCACGTACGCCAGTTCCTTGATGGCCGAGTTTGCATTGCTCACCGTTGTTGCTCAGCACTCTTGAAATGAGAATTGTTATAGTTCCAAATAGAGACGAAAGTTCTTGAGCTTTGTAAGGGATGGCAGAGCATGCTGTAACATATTACTGTAAGTGTAACTAAAATTTGCGATCATAGCGCGATCTTTCGCGATACGGATGGATTGGTGAGCAGGCGGCCCCCATGGGACAAAGCACTGAAATTTCAGTACAAATACCAGGTCAGCCTCTCATCGACACATTATCCGAATCATCCTTTCCTCTCCTTGTCAACTACTAGCTTTAGAACTTTTTCAACATGTCATCTCCCAAAGTCGCAATCATCATTTACTCGATGTACGGTCATATCACCAAGAGTGAGTACCAAGCATACAGAACGGTGTCCTCCTAATATGAGACCTTCATCAGTGGCCGAGTCTGTCAAGAGTGGTATTGAGTCCGCTGGCGGTGGAGCCACCATTTACCAGTATGCGTTTAATCGTGTGCCCATCTGTGCAATTACCTCACTCACTTGATTATTCAGGATTGCTGAAACACTGCCCGCGGAAGTCCTCGCAAAGATGTATGCTCCCGCAAAGCCAAGTTATCCCATCATCACCCCAAGCGAACTTGCCGACTTTGACGCCTTTATCTTCGGCATTCCTACGCGCTATGGCAATTTTCCCGCTCAGTGGAAAGTATGTCTCTGACCTGTCAAATCTGTCGAACAATTCTAATTATATTTCTCATACTCACAGGCTTTCTGGGACGGAACCGGTGGATTATGGGCCAGTGGAGCTTTGGCTGGCAAATTCGCGGGTGTTTTCGTTTCTACAGGCACACCAGGCGGAGGACAGGAGTCTACCATCATCAACTCCCTCTCCACTCTTACCCACCACGGGATTATCTACGTCCCTATGGGTTATAAAAACACATTCGCACAACTCACTAACATCAGCGAAGTTCGCGGTGGTATGTTTACTCCCTCACGTCCATATTTGAGGGTTGCTTATTTTACTACTCAGGTTCCCCTTGGGGTGCTGGCACCTTCGCTGGACCCGATGGGTCACGCCAGCCTTCAGCCCTTGAACTAGAACTCGCTACCATCCAAGGCAAGGGCTTCTGGGACATCGTTTCAAAGTACAAATTCTAGAAAGGCCATACATAATCACATTTACGATACTTACAGAGACCTCATAATAGATACGTGCGTGAAAAACAAAAAAAAACAAAATTAGATGTGAAGGATGTTTGCTCGCTTAAATCAAATTTTTATATCCCTGTGGGCGTACATGCATCCTGATATGCACACTGGGGCGATGTTTAATCATGTGCGAAGCCTCCCAAAGTTACCGGTAGTTGCAGCAGTGCATCGACATCCCAAAGTAGTCTATGTTAGCGCACGCCGCACTAGTGGCCTGGCAATGCTGGGGGAATCACGGTCACGTGTCAAAGCACAACTTCGTGTTATTTAAATTTTATACTGTTAACCACGGCACACCGTGACATGATGGTGCTATCCTGCGGCTCCTACCCCAACATTCAATCCAGCATCTGCCCAATACCATTCAGATGATGGGACGAAGTCAATGCAAGTCGTTCCTTAGGTCAACCGACGAGAGCACATTAATACAACCAGGTTCCTTCAAGTTAATGATTCCTACAAGTCTATTGCGATCAGCGAGGTTCCATGTCAGCAATAGTCAATACTTCAACAACGCTCGACAGGATCAGTAGCAAGGGACCAGCAACTCTAGCACTGTAAGTTGACCTTCCTTGACATTCCTGAATTCTACCGTGTTTGGGAGGGGGAATATTAATTATGCCGCGGTCACGTTGCAGGACTACTAATCAAAGGATATTTAGTGCACGGTTACTTCGGTGTTCCTCTTTCATCCATTGTCAATATTCATGGTCCCTAGTAGCGGTGGTTATGTAAAACGGCCGGCTGGAACCGTGCTGTTACTGCGGAGTCCGCGGACCAATGGAGGCCCTTGCATTGTCCATCGGGGGGCATTTCAACTTGAAGTTACAGAGTCCACTCGGTAGCTCAAACTTCTTTCCAATGGCTTATACCTCTCCGATAGTCAAGAACACTAGTCACACAGCTCACCTTGTTAAGAAAGCAGGGTTTCTGTCTCTTCCTGAAGAATTACGATCTTACGTTCTGAGCTTCCTTCGTTGCCGAGATCTTCTTCGTTGTGCATCTGTGAGTGCCACCGACTTACAACTTATGATCATGCTGCATCATGTTATGATTGTATTTATACTGATAATAATCCTCTTGTAGGTATGTAAGGCCCTTCGCTGGACGTACATGTCCTCCTCGGAGCTTCAGTACATCGTTGAACTCAGTGGCCAGCAACTGCTTCGTGTTCCAAATACGGACAACCACACTGCGATTTCCGAACGTCTACGACTCTTGAGGGACAGAGCCCACGCATGGTTTAAGTTTGACTTGCACTCTTTCAAAACGATCTCCTTTCCAACAGAAATGTGCGATGAAAGGAAAGCCGTCATTGATGGACATTTCTCCTTGTGGGACAAAAATACAGACCTGGCCTGGATCATTCCAATAGTACCAAAGCGCTCACAACAAACATTCGCGCGCGAATGGTCTCCGGGAACGTTGTGTCCAGTGCGCTACTCTGATGGTGTGTTCATGGACCCAACACAAAATTTGATCGCTGTCGTGTATTTTGTTCACGACGAGACGGCCTATATTGACCTCAGAGCCCTGGATGGTGATAGTGTTCACCCCCAAGCTGCTGGGCCGAAACTGATCTTGTTGGGGCCACCCGGATACGACGAAACCAGGTTTGCAACAACGCGGACGGAGCTTAAAGGTTTCGGGAGGCATATCGCTTTGCGACGCTCCTTGCTCGTTTCACGTGTCGATGCCTGGGCTTCGGAGATGTGGCAGCTGCAGATTTGGGACTGGCAACACTCGACGACTTCCAATGTGAGCCTTGGTCAGAAATAATCGAAAGACTGGAAGGCTAATTTTCAAATTAGAGCATCCTCAGCGACACAACGCGACTTGGCGATTTTTGTTTCCTCGGAAGTAATAGACTATTGGTTGTCGCCATCGATTTAAAGATCTATTCAATCGGGGATATATCTCAGAAGCCACAAATACTGGCGTGCTTCCAGTCGCCTGAGCGATGGCTGGTCAAACAGTGTCTCCTTCCGATGGATGATGTTGAACGGCCGCAAACGCAGAACAAAAAATCGATGCACACCTCGGACCCTAAACACCGGCTTCTATGCATTACAACGGATGCAAACCGAGTCTACATCATATCCACCAGGATTTTCTTCGACCTTGATGGAATGACAGTAGTAACGCCAATACCATGGGATGACTGGGGCCCGTCAAATACTCGTATTTTCCAGCACCCATGTGAATCCAAAATTCACGTCAGCGGGAATCGAGTCTTGCAGGCATTCCCAGTTGGCACGCACATGCGCTTCCCGGAATGTCCTAAGGAGTATATATTGCATATGATGGACTTCAGTCCATTAGCTGTGACGAACAGGCGGGGTCTAGGACGAGTGGTCAAAGAGCCATCCACGATAGACGCCACCGAGTATTATGGACTGTACCGACGGAGCTTGACGACATCGCTCCCTTACGTCGAGGTCGTTTCGGACAGGAAGATGGAAGCTATTGACTTGGAGGACATATGGCTCGATAAGGACACTATTTATATGCTCAACAACGTGGATTCTATTAATGATGGGAATATCAGAAGGCTCGAGGTCATTAACGTTTAGAGAGCAGAATATGTTATCAGGTATTCAATTATTAGCCAATTTGAGCGCCTTCAGATATGTTGAGTTATATCGTAGTATATGAATTAGTTTGTTGTCGCGAATGCAGCTCGACAAACGAAATTGACAATCCATGAACGAATCGTTTGTTTCGTTCGAAGTCAAAGGTGCGTCGTGGTAGCAAGTAAGACCTGGTGAGCCATTGAAGTTGTCGACTCGCGGGTCCTAAAAGAAATTACCTGATTGGCGGTACCCAGGCTGAACTAGACTAGTAGGAATATGTAAGTGGAGTCTTGGATGATTCGAGGGCGGCGACACGGACTCGTACGTTAGGAGCATTAAGTTTGAAACAGCTGTAACGTTAACGACGTCCAAACGGCGCCGTTCTACCACCAAAGACAAAATGAAGGTCACCAGTTAGCGCTCATCCGCGGTGTCCTGTATATAGATGCACAGGCGTACACATACAACCAACCATCTTTCTGACCGAGTGCGTGCGTCAGGGTAAATCCAAAGCCATCACTTCGCGCAAGCTCAAGTATCGCAGTACGATCGCCAAGCTTTGCTTTCCTAACTCACCTTGCTAGTGTGGCATTTCTCATCCTTCACGGGAGGGCATAAAAACCGATGCGGTCAATTACAAAGAATACACACTGATCACAAGGAAAACACCATTAATATTAATGTAGCTAAAGCGAATCGTCCCAGCTCTGAATGAAAAATAAGTATACCATCTTGTTCTCTAACCAGTTTTATTGATTCGAAGTGTCTATATTCTCACGCGCCCCTCCAGTGTATGGCTGCTGCCATTGCAGCTGAGCGCCATTCGGAGCCTGACCCTGTGCGGTATTGTTATTGCTGACAGGCTGACCATATGCAGGATGCGAATAAAATGCAGCATATCCATGGGGAATCTGCGGCATCGGTTGATGTGTTGGGATTTCATATCTGGCATTGTAGGACCAAGCTCCTGAGCCATATGCATTTGGGGAGTAATACTGCTGATGAGACTGCGGCGCATAATATGGGGCATAGTGCGTCGTGGGGCTAGTCACTTGCGTTGGAAGCGCGGACGACGACGCCGCAGCCGTCGATATCGACGGATAAGCTGTTACCTGCATCGAAGGATGAGGAACTGCACTCGCAACGAAACGAACCACAAGACACAAGTGAACAACAAGAGGGGTGTGGGAAAAATTTAGACTCACGCTCAGGGGCCGGTTCCGAGGGCTTTTGCACCACAGTTTGCCCTTCGGTCTGTCCAAAGATGACGCTTCCCCACTTGAATTCCCGCTTGACACCGCGGTCCCAAAGCACCTCGACAGACCCGGTCTCCTCAATAATGCGCACCAAAGAGACCTCAAAGACACCAGAGCTAACACGAATTTTGATGCGCGACATGGGTGGGAGGCCAACGAGCTCGCCTTTAATACGGTCTTGTTTCGTAGCCCTCTTTGCAGCGGCGATAGCCTTCAAACGCAGGTGTCAGCTTGTCGTTGCTAAAGCACGCGAAAAGAAACTGCTCACTGGATTATGCTGCAGACAGAGAACATGCACGTCATACTTCTTGATTGACTTCAGTACCTGGGGTTCCATCTCAACGGGAGAAGGTAGTATTCCATCTGGTTGCATCTGAGGCTGAGACAAAGCTGGGTCCAAAAATGTAGTGGCTCCATCAGGAGTTGGGACAGTGTGATACGCAGGAGGTGGCGGGTTTGGATATACTAGTATCACCTCCTTCTCGATCTCGCGCAGTATTGAGAAAACAATGCCGCTGCTCCCTCCGTCTCTCGCGCAGCCAACGTGGAAAGATTTCGCGCATTTTCCTTTGGTGCACTGGATAGGTGCACCATGGGCCTTCTGTCGCACTTTTGTACAAGCAGCACATTTCTGTACACGACGGTCAGCTAAGCGTGTGTGAAGATGTTTCGCTGTGTTGGAACATACCAGATTCCATCGATCTCTCACGATCGCATCCACGCCAAACACCCTTTTCTCCACAGACATCTCCGTTTCCACCTCGTCTACCCAAGTCTCAGGTACGACCTTAGCACACTCTTCATGTGCCATCCAAGCTTCGGTTGCAAGACTCGATAAGCTTTCAGGAAGCTCCCGCCGACCAACAGGTGGATCCTGTACGGGAAACAAGCCATCCCTGCTCGTTGAGATACACAAACAGCAGGGGAAAATGTCCTCCACGGGCCGAGGGCCAAGCTTGAGGGTGACCCTTGACGCGGATGGCCCTGCAACTGGTGTAGACGTCGATGATTCTTTCGCTTTGGGGCGTTTGCGCTTTGGCTGAGGCTCCAGGCCGTCAAGAGCTTTGCGTTTCGATGAAGGTTGTCGTTTTTCGAGCTCGAGCACCGCAGGGTTCAAGCGCTCGACCTCCCTATCGTACAGTAGCCGATCTACATCAATCCGTACACTAGAAGAAAGTCAGACCGCTGATCAAACAATAGGACGAGATATTGACCTATCAGAAATGCATTGGCATGCCTTGGCCCTCCGTCCAAGCTCTACCCAGCTCTCCAGCGCAAAATTGACACTTTCGGC